CTCTTTCCTGCCTATGCAGGGGGTTGGACTCGATGATCTATTGAGGTCCCTTCTGACCCCAACATCTATGAATCTATGAGAAGCTTGCTTTGCTCTGCCTACTTGTAATTAAGAGTTCAATGCTTGAAATGTCATTCTAACACATAATCACTAAGTTAATTTCTCTTTTTAAATAAAAAAGCACAATTAGGTCCTTGCTGAGAATACAACCACACAGAGATCCTCTCTCACGGGCTTTATTCAAAATCCCTTTTCATGGGCTTTATTACATTGTGAAATTTACAAGTGCAAAGATTAACGATAACGGTGGAGCTGCAGGGTATTGCGTCTTCTCCAGGCAGCACGGCGAGAGCCACCAATAGTGTGATGGAATTTGTGGCCCTTGCCAAGACCACGACTCTTCCTGCCAGCTGATGTCAGCCCACGCATCTCTCTGTGTTTGTGGACTGGTTTGGTGATCCATTGGGTATCAGGGTTGCGTCTGATGGCCTTATGGAATGGATCAATCAGGATAACCTCAAAGAATTTATAGGTGGAATCTTCACCCACCCAGTAGGAGTTCAATACTCTCAGAGCTCCACAGTGGCGGCCAGCCCGTTCCTAGAAAGGTAAAAAGAAGAGTTCAAGGAGATAATCAGCAAGAAGGATAGCGAATATGAGTGCTACAGACAAGCTGAAAGTGATGTGCCTAAATAACAGGCTCAGTAAACAGAATATGAACATGAGACAGGAAGCCAATGCAGGATTTTAAACCAGGTGAATAAAATGAATGTTAGCGGACTGCTGGAGATGCACTAGGTTGCTGAACAGTCTCCCGAAGAAAGTGGAGGAAGCTTCATTAATCTGGACACTACTGCTTTACCAGAAGATACACAAAATGCACTATAGGGAATAAACTGGCATTTAATAAATCCTTCTCCGTTTTCCAAACTCCCATGGTTGTCTGATGCCTTCTCTGTTTAGAGTACAAGGTCCTCTCATTTAATATAGGATTGAAAGAGCTGGAGCACCGGTTCAAACAAAAAAGTAGAAGAAACTTACTGGGTCACATAAAATTTCCCCAAGCTCTTTTACAGCACAGAATCATTCTCTATTTGACTTTCCTTTTAAAACTAAACATGAGCAAGCATGCCAAACCAAAGCAATCCTGTCATTACTTTGGGAGACTATTCTACAGGCCAGAAGATCAATGATATGGTCTTCAAAATCATCCCACTCCATTTCTACAGTCCTCCGTCAAGTGGAGACCTAGCATTACTAATATAAACAGAACTAAAAAAGTATTCATATTTTGGTTTTCCCCAAGACAAGATAGCAATAAAAGGCACTCAGTTTACAACAAATACAAGTCACGCCCTTACCACATATATGAGAAGTTAGAACAATAGATAAAACCTTGGTAATGGAAAACGGAACAAATGGTCTATGCCAAGAAATGTACAAAACTGAAGTAAATTAAACTAGTGCCTGAGACAAGTGGGGGAAAAAAAAATGGACAGCCTCTAAAAGCAATCAGAATTATGGTGCCTTGTGGAAGAAAGGCCAAGAGATTACCTTAAAAAAAAAATTAAACATTTACTTGCTCTAAAAAGAAAAGCTTTTTTTGTCTACCAGTTTCAGTATCTCAATGTTAACACATCCTTTGCTCAAAGGAATCACCAATCTGACCAGCATTTAAAGTATCTGAGAACAATGAGTTGAAAATGAGAACAGGCTTGCATTTTGAAAAGAACATATTATTATGTAAAGTCCAATAAAAAAAAAAAATCTACTTCATGCTCAGAAATATTTCCCAGACTACAAACAAAACACAACAGGATTTTTTTTTCTGGCCTAGAAAATCTCCTTTAAAAAAACAAAAAACAAACACACACAAAAACCACAGCCTACAAATCAGGAAAAACGCATAGTCCCCTAGAGAAACTACAGGTCTAGCATCAGCCAAACGGTGGAAAGGGGGAAAGCACTAGGCTCCTTGCATCTAAAAGGGTATTTTATTATTTGCTGGCATGACCTCACTACAGAAAGGCAGCTGTCCCTTCTCATCATTTACCTTACACAATGTGGAGTTAAAGCTGATTTTGAAAATGTGGTTGTACAGATGTCACACCTCAGTCATGCATGTTACACAGAGGGCATGCCAAGAACATACAATAAGCAGAAATGCTTCTTCTACCTCTAGTAGAAGGCCTTGTGATTTTTTTCCCCCCCCACTTCATGGAACATGGAAAGAGCTCCTGCCCCAAACTACTTTCTATACATATCTGACAACAGCAGGAAATACTAACGAAGGGGAAGAGTGGTTTGTAAGACCTAGATTTAAGGATAGATTTTTCAGCCTATTTGCTTTTTCCTGTACTCTGAGATTCTCTATTTCCCAAAGATACCTTTGTGTTGTTGGATTAAACTAATTAGAATGATGTTAATTTCATATGGTTAATTTTACTTCTTGGCAAGTCCTGAACGAAGAGACAAGTCAATTGCAATTCTCTGCCAAGGAATTAAGATTACAGAACTAATATAGCAGCATATAAAGTTTAAAAAATTAAATCAAGACTCTGATACTGGATTACATAAAGCAAAATGATCAGTAAAGTCATGAATTACACTGAGTCCGAAGCCTAACTTTTACTATCAACACTTCTGTAAAAAAAATAAAATAAAAAAAGGCTAATACCATGTATGGTCTGTTCTACCATGTCATTGCAACCAATGAAAGCGCATCAGAACATAAAACTGAATGACAAGTCATACTCCTAGTCCAATTAGCCTGGAGCACTAACTTTACCAAGTCACTTGAACTCTGCACACTAGTTTCCCCAAACATACAAGAATACCATTTACTTAGCTTAATAAGCCCCTTGAGGTACATGGGTATGAAGGTCTCACAAGTGTCTTGTTAGTGTCAGTAGTCCTAACCTTTAGGTTCCCAAAGGAATTCTGTGGTTCTGAATAGTGCCCTCCATCAGTAGAACAAGACTTGCAGAAAACTTTCTACTGGAGAAAGGCACTTACCTCTGCTACAGACTGCAGGCTACGGGCAAACTTCAGCTGATTAACACCATGATGCACAGGTTTACCATATGTTGCACCCTTTGGGACTGGGCGTTTACGACCGCCACGACGAACACGAATACGGTAAATCACGTAACCTTAAAAAAAAAAAGAAGTGTGTTTTTAAAAACGTTACTTGTTAAAGATTATGAGACTTCTGAATTTCATTAAGTATCAATTACCGTGACTTTATTTCCCCCTCACATTAATACTTTTCCCCTCAGAACTTCTAGTTCCACTCTTACTGTGGAAGCTGCTTTCATGAGCATCTTCAACGTAGATAAACCTTGTACTGGAAAATTTGGTGAAGTGCTCCTGCTTTATACTGTAACACTTATACACATGGGGGGAATCTCGCTGTGTTATCACTGCATTATACAACACAGGTCACTTCAGTGCCTAAACCAAAATAAGCTATATGGTACAACACACCTTAATACTGGTGTAAGTGAGTTTACATGTGGGCTGTTGACAATATAATTTTCCAATTATAAAAATTATTTAAGCCGATAGTAAAACATGAGTACAGACTGGAGAACTTCGTAGCTATTAGAAACTAGAACGGATAAGTAGAGTTTTTGGTCTTGTTTTCATTTTTTAAGTGCGAAAATACTTCCAGGATTGCAAGCTGACAGTCTTTTTCCACAGCGCCTTGCAAACACATCTTAGTCCTGTCCACCTCTGAGGATATTATTATTTTATCTTCACTGGAGTTAGCTTGGATTCTTAGCCAGGCACTTCACATGAGAATGCCTCTCTGGTCCACACTCATCTTTGCTTAAGGGGACTTTCCACCCAGCTAGATGTTGTGGCTTACAGCATGTGCCAGCTCCTGGATCCACTCTCATCTGGGATAATAACCTCCAACTTTGCAGAGGAAAACCAGAGAAGTTAAATTCTCCAAGAACAAGGAGAATTCAGTCTCTGTACTTACTTATCTAGATACTTAATTATCCAGTTTTGCCAAAATTATTTCCTTAGATGCTAATTAAGCATGAATTATAGCACTATCCTTTTTCTGTGGACAGCTGTATTGCTATGTTACTACCTGTAACCCAACTTTTCATGGTGTTTTTCAACTCTTACCAAAGAGCATACACACCTAGCATGCTGCCAGTTACACATACCCCTTGCTGCTCAGTTAGGAAAGACTCTAACAAGTACTGGGGTGTGACACCCCAGTGCTAAAGCGTCAGCTGCAAACCTCTTCAGGCCTAGTTACCTTGCTTGGCTTTGTATCCCAGCCTGCGGGCTCTGTCTGGCCGGGTAGGTCTGGGAGCTCGATGCAGGGCAGACAACTGGCGGTACTGCCAACAGCGGACGCGCAAAAGGAAACGCATCACGTCTGACTGCTTCTTCCTCCATAGCTCTTGGATGTACTTGTAAGCGCCCATGCTTGTTTACCTGTTTAATCAGAGATCTGCGTAAGTCTGCAATCAAGCCTTTATCCCCCTTTGAGACTCTCCCGCAGGAAACCCACGTGCAAAGGGGACATCATGTAACAGGCCGCACCAAACTGAAACGCAAGGGGCTTAAACGCAGGGCAGCCGCCACACCGCAAATGCCCGCTCGCATCTCTCCCTGCTTTTATGCATGCTGAACTCCTGAGGGAGAAACTGCTTTTCCGTGAGGATGCCTGGCACACCCCAGCTACTGCCACATGCCAAATAACGGCTTCACCCAGAATGCAGCGGATCCACCGGCGAGTTTAGGGAGAAGCTTCGGGGAAGTCACTGCCTCTCAGCAGCTTCCTCCCCGGAGGCCTGACTTAACTCCTGCACCGCGAAGAGCTTTCCCTCGGCCGGCACCCAGGGCCCCTGGGCGCCTCCGCGCTGGTGCAAGGACACAGGCCGCCCCAGGCCCTCCCCGACTCGACTCCCGCTCGCCCCAGCCCGGCGGGCCCAGCGCCAGCACCCCCG